GTATAATATTGGTTATGTTTACATAAATTGGTCGATAAGAGAATAAAGTTAGTTTAGTTTTGGTTTTCTCCTGTAGTATACTGGATCAATAAGGGATGATCCTTTAAGAACAGTTTAGAACTTATAGAGTTCTCCAGTATAAATAAAGTTAGTTCAGTTTAGGTTTCCTCCTGTAGTAACACTGGATCAATAAGAGATGATTCTTACTGGACCTATAGGAAGAACAGTTTAGAACTGATAGAGCTATCCAGTATAAATAAAGTTAGTTTAGTTTAGGTTTCCTCCTGTAGTAACACTGGATCAATACTGAGATTATCCTTACTGGACTTCTAGGGAGAACAATTTAGAACTGATAGAGCTATCCAGTATAAATAAAGTTAGTTTAGTTTAGGTTTCCTCCTGTAGTAACACTGGATCAATATCGAGACAACACTTACTGGATCTCTAGGAAGAACAGTTTATAGCGCTGTCGAATTTAAGCGTGTAAAGAAATATATGTCAATGTTTTTGAACATCATTTTCGCTTTTCAATTTTGTTGTATATAGTAAACAGTCCAGTAGCAGCACAAGACGTTCACGAAGGAAGATAGCTTTGTCGACATTCCCTGATGACGTCGAAGATTTGTTTGGCGATATGGCATAAAATTATGAGGCGCGCCGTATCCGCCATCGCAGGCATTGCCTTGAGATTGGCGGGCTAGAAATTTGTTGCAGGCGAAAAACTTTGTGAACCACAAGATGTCCGGTTGCTGGCCGGCTATGTTTGGCCGGCTGTACAAACGCCATTCACAAGGAGCCCAGGGGCTTATTCTGTTCAAAGATGGATTAGCACTAACCCTCGGTTAAAATTTAACCTGCTGTTTTGGTTTATGTATTTCTGCACGTCTGTTTATTTCAAAACTTCCGAGGAGAAAACTCCTACCATAGTTAATTAAGGAGATGGTTTGGAAACTCGTTAGCATTACAATAAAATCACAATAAACCTCATTATCTATGTTGTTCAGGTTTATGCAAAAATGTGGTCTTTCATCGTCACGTGCGTATTGTATTTTTCTCAAGTCAACCAGTAATTAAGAATGTTCAAAATGTCCTATTGTTAAAGTCATGGATGGGCAATTGGACAAAATCGTTGCTATTGGCTGGTTGAGCAAAAATACAATACGCACGTGACTATGAAAGACCACATTTTTGCATAAACCTGAACAAAAACATAGATAGTGAGGTTTATTGTAATGCTAATGAGTTTCCAAACCATCTCCTCTATTAACTATGCTCCTACTGATCCAGACAAGATTTCTGAAGAAATTTTTGCAAATTTATAAACACAGCTAATGGGCTTTCGAAAAACCTCAACTAGCAAACTTCTCAACAGATTGCTAACAAACTTTAGAATATATTTTTTTTTCAGAAATCTTGTCTGATTCATTGAATCAATAAAAGTTTAATTCCTACAGTTTAAAACAAGCACACCTGTAGAAATTCGCAAACCAAACGGTCCAAAGCACTGGGCGAGTTTAGTGCTATCGAGCTTTGAACAACAGGCCGCGATAGTGATATTTCAACCTTTTGAAAAACCTCTAGAAAGCTGTGAAAATACGAAATGTAAAGCACGCAATGTATAATAAAGACTTTAATTGTTTGGCCATGGCATTTGTGATGTGAATTTTTTTTCAAAAATAAACCCACCATGGTGATAACTTGGGGCAAATCTCTAAATTTGTGGCAAACTCTAAATTTTTATAAATTTCTCAAAAACACTCACCTTTGGCCTCGGTTCATCATGCCATTCCTCGTTCTTCAATGTTCAATACTTCATTTAAGCTAAAACAACAAAACCCCGGGATTATATCTCCGGTCGTACGCGCACTAGACCCGGAAACTGGGGACAACTCAAGATTATTTCTTCAACTTTGTATAAAAGTTTTAGTTTTTCAGTGAAATTTTACATTTCTTTTTAAAATTTTCGACAAAATGTCAGAATATTGGCTTATATCAGTCCCTGGTGACACTAAGGAGGGCCATTCTTCTTGGGAAACCTTAAAATCACAGACTGGTGGGCTGTCGAATATTTGGAAATTTCACATCCCTGCAGATCTGAAGGTTTGGACGTTTTAATGTGACAAGTCACAAGACTTGGCGAATTGTTTTTATTAAAGTAGCATTCAGTCTTTTCTAGATGCGCAAAATTGCATATTTACTAGATTAAAAAGAGAAGCGTATGAAAAATATGTATTATATAAATACTGTAGCAATTTATGACATTTAAATGACATTATTGTAACTTTAATTTATTTAGCATTTATGATGCATGCAATTTTTTCCTCATACAACTGACCACTCCAGATTATAAAGTTTGGTCTGCGTGGGAACCCAGAAATTTGACCCGAATGTTTGTCCGCACATTTTCGAGAAAATCCCAAAAAATCTGCATGTTTTTGATAAAATTAATGTATTTATTTAAACTTGTGAGCTGAGAGGGAGCTTCGTTCACAAGGACACAATTTAGTACCATGAATGACTGCCTAGATATGCATACAATGCAGCGATTCTCTAACGTTCTGCCTTTATTTCCGCACAACTGTCATGCGCCACAAACATATTCCCCAAACTTCACAGTCTAGAACACTCTGACAATATGATCGTTTGAATCCAAGGATGATTGGATGAGCAGTCTCATAGAAAAATCTTGCCTATTGTCACATAAAATATTCCATGTTTGTAATAAAAAATTGAATGTTTCAATAGACCTTACCATTCACTTTTGCCTTGTTACATGTGGTTGTTTCATGTTCACCATGACAGACACACATGGGCAAGTGTGTTATAACCAAGAAGGTCAATCAATTTTGATCTAGGCAAGAAGAACAAAATCCATCACCACAGCTAGAAAGAGCGTGTTAAAATTAGTAAAATAGCAGAGTTTGGCCACAAATTGTTGTAAAATGCGGAAAATAAATCCCTGCAAAATTTGTATTAAATATTTGTAATCTGTGCGTAATACAATACAAAATTTTCAAATTTCGCAGGGCTATATTTTCCTCATTTTACAACATTTCGCGGCCATTTCGCAACTTTACTAATTTTAACATGCTCTTTCTAGCTGTGGTGATGGATTTTGTTCTTCTTGCCTAGATCAAAAGTTAGCCTATAGCTGGATCCATTATCTGAATCTACTCTGTGTGACGCCAGACAATTTTACTCATCAAGGGGAGAGTCTGGCACTCAATGGATTAATTTACTTTGTTTTCAAAAGGTTGGAACATTGGACACATTGATCGGTTTATCCGATGAGTTGCAGAAACTGGACCTTTTTGTAGAAGGGTGAGACTAATATATCATCTAAAACCTATCTAGTAGTTACAACTTCATTGGTTTAATTTCCTTTTCCCAACTGCAAAATTTTATTCAATGTTCAGAATTACAAAGAAAGTTGCACACTACATGGCCGAAATTGCTGCCGAAAGTGAAGTAAGTTCTCGCTGATTTTGGAGTTCATTGAACAGAATCCAAACTACCTACCAATGCATTTTAATGTGTTTAATGCAACACCTGGCAGGGGAGAGACTAATTAATGGGTTAATTTTTTTTCTTTCTAGAATGGAACTCAACCTAAACTAAAGGCAAATGGATGTATGGGAACATTTTTGCAACCTTTATTTTCTAATATTTAGAGTTCATATAAATCATACTTCTTTGAATGTGCAATATTGTCTTCACATATTTGAATTCCAATTTCTGTAAATCTTCAGTTGATAGACTTATGATGTTATCTTTAGGTGAACTGAATCAATATGTAACAAATTTTCAGTGGGATGTTGCTAAGTATCCATTAATCAAACAGACCACGCTAAGAAATCTTGCTGAAATCATTGGCAAGGTATCGACCTTTATACTTCGTTTACATGCTTTCATTCACCCAGTATTTCTATTGTTTTCTGTTTTGACTGTCAACTCTCGCATAACTCTTCCCAACATTGACATTCTTTACAGCAAGTCACTCAAATTGACAATGACCTCAAGGCAAAAGCAACAGCTTACAACAGTGTGAAAACAAGTCTCGCAAGCTTGGAACGAAAAGCGACGTAAGTCTTGTACAGGCCTAAGATAATAACTACTAAATGCTGATATGAATTACATGAAATTGATAACTGAAATGTATACATGTATTTCTCGGCTCAAATATTTTCTCTATGGATAGGGGACCTCTACTTACGCGAAATCTTGGCGAGCTCGTCAAGAAAGAGAACTTCATACTAGATTCAGAATATCTGACAACTTTATTAGTTATTGTTCCATGGTAAGTTAATTAGATCTTTAGGATTTGGGGCATCTCATTCGATATAACGAATTGTTGAAGGGAATTGTAAATGTGTAGAATTTTTATACATTTATTAGATTTAGCCAGGAGCAGTTGCAAAAAATGCAACTATAAACACTCTGGCAGGAATCGAATGTGCGATTACGGTGCAGCACTATAACCAACTGAGCTACAAGGACAGATAGTGTATATGACATGAAATTTCTTATTTTCTTAAAGGGGAAGTCAAGTCGGTAATGTAAACAAACGGTTTGTTTACATTTTGAACTGCTGTATTTTTAAAAATATGATGTACTGTCTGAATATCTAACACTATTTTGGTTCGCTATGCTTCTAAATGAATATGAAATAGAGTTTATGTTCAGAAAAATTCGAAACATTCGAAATTTGGGCAATTTTCACATTAGAGGTCCTCACATTGTTATGAGCAGAACCGATGCGCAGAACGGACTTGACTTCCCCTTTAAATGAAAGAACTCTTTAAGTTGTAGTGTAGCTTATTTTTCAGTTTCTTGTTTTTATGGTTTGTTCCCAAGATGTTTCAATTTGTTTGATATGTAAATGAGTGTGAATATGTCCACTAATTTAATTTATGACGTCACACTGGTTATAAATGTATTAATTAACTCTAAAAAACTGTTGATATCAGTTCACATTTTTCTGTCACATTTACCAGTGAGTGAAGTTTGAAATTATCATCTTGGACGATAGCAGTGATATTCAAGCATTTTGAAGAGCTTGCAACCAACATGACATCATAAATTAGAAGACATATTCACATCATTTACATATCAAACAAATTGGAATATCTCGGGAACAAATCATAAAAACAAGAAACTGAAAAATAAGGATGCATTTTAATAAGTTACACTTATATATTCTTAGTAATCTTGAAGAAGATTGGAAGAAACAATATTGGAAACTTTGTGACATGGTCGTTCCAAATTCGAGCGAGAGACTCTTCACTGATGGAGACTACTCGCTCTTCAATGTCTGTCTCTTCCAAAAAGTTGTGGACGAGTTCAAACTTCACGCGAGGGAAAATAAGTTTGTAGTTCGAGAATTTGTTTATAATGAAGAAGCATTGGCTGCTGGCAAAAATGAATTGAATAAATTGGAATCTGATAAGAAAAAACAGCTGGTTAGATATTAAGATGCTAATTAGTTAATTAAGATGCTAATTAGTTAATTAAGATGCTAATTAGTTCATTAAGATGCTAATTAACTCATTAAAATGCTAATTAGTTAATTTAAGATGCTAATTAAATAAGATGCTAATTAGTTCATTAAGATGCTAATTAATTCATTAAAATGCTAATTAGTAATTAAGATGCCAATTAAGATGCTAATTAATTAAAATGCTAATTAATTCATTAAAATGCTAATTAGTTAATTAAGATTCTAATTAATTAAGATGCTAATTAGTTAATTAAGATGCTAATTAACTCATTAAAATGCTAATTAGTTACTTAAGATGCTAATTAATTAAGATGCTAATTAGTTAATCAGCATCTTAACCAGTAACTCTGGGTTCACAAAGGTAGCTCCAATTAATGTCTTCATTATTATTCCAGGGTCCACTGAAACTATGGCTCCATGTTAATTTTGGTGAGGCCTTTAGTGCCTGGATACATGTTATGGTAAGATCAGACTTTACTATCCATTACTGCCAATTTCTCCATATCTTCGTCTGTTATTAACTGCCTAGTCTTCTGCCTCCAAGTCTAATGTTATTGCGTTTCCTATTATAGGCCTTACGACTTTTTGTAGAGTCTGTACTACGATATGGTCTTCCAGTGAATTTCCATGCTATGATTTTAGACGTGAGTTATATGTTATCCTATTTGGCGGTTGCTTAATCGGTTGTTTGGTCATCTAGATAATGTATTTAATTTTTCAAAATCCGTTTTCCAGCCTTCCAAGAAAATGCAGAAGAAATTACGAGATCTCCTCTATGGTTTATATTCTCATTTGGATAATAATCAAATATTAAGTGATTCTAAAGCAGAGGTAAGAATGAGCTTTGCTCATATGAGCATACTGTTTTTGGTACAGTATATACCGGGTCCCAAAAGAAACTGGACACTACAGTATTTGATTTCATGTAACGTAAAAGCTATAAAAGCTATCGCAATGAAATAAAAATCGTTGCATTCAGAAAGGACTAACTTAGATCTTGATATATAGCACTTGAATTTACATGCAATATTGAGCGAGATACAACCAAAATAAAAATATTTATTTATTTAACAAGTATGACTATTGACTACATCCGTAATTATACCAGTAAGATTGTTTTATGCTAATTTTGGCATTTTCAAAAACAGTAGTTCAACGTTCAAACGTCAATAGTGCAGTCAATATTGCATGTAAATTCAAGTGCTATATATCAAAATCTAAGTTAGTCCTTTCTGAATGCAACGATCTTTATTTCATTGCGATAGCTTTTACGTCATATGAAATCAAAGAGTGTCCAGTGTTTGGGGGGGGGGGGGCTCCCGGTATATGAGCATGCTCATGAGTATAAATCCATACGCCATTAACTATTTCTAAACTTCGTTCTTACAGCAAGTTGATATACCCGGACTAACACTTGGTCCTAAAGAATACTATCCCTATGTCTGGTTTCAACTGAAAATCAATATATTCGAAAGGTGAAATCTATCATGGCGGAAATGAAGAAGTAAAAGATTTTACCTGTCGTTTCATTCGCACGGTCTTGCATCATAGTAGATTATATAGTTCTAAAGACTGGCTGCTGTATGGAAACAGATCTTATTCACTGAGAGCTGCTTTTGCAAGAGGACTAAACGAATACACATAACGAATGATTTGGAACATTTATTTTAGGACTCTGATACTAAATGTGAGCATGTGTCCTTGACAAGTTTACCTTCTCGTATGTGCGGTCGACATTCAACAATGGGCAATTCCATCTAGGCAAGAAGAACAAAATCCATCACCACAGCTAGAAAGAGCATGTTAAAATGAGTAAAATTGCAAAGTTTGGTTGCGAAATGTTGTAAAATGAGGAAAATATAGCCCTACGAAATTTGCAAATTTTGTATTAATTTGTATTACGCGCAGGAAAATGCACCACATTTTGGCCGAAAGTGGTGCAAATTCCCGTGCGTAATACAAATTAATACAAAATTTTGCAAATTTCGTAGGGCTATATTTTCCTCATTTTACAACATTTCGCAACCAAACTTTGCCATTTTACTAATTTCTAGCTGTGGCGATGGATTTTGTTCTTCTGGCCTAGATTTTAGTCTATATATAGCTGGAATCATTCATTAGTTTTTCTTGATAAGTTTTGCTGCTCGTTGTTTGTTAAACATTTATCTCACGTCAAGGCCACCTTTTGTTTGCCAGAACCATAGAAGTATTTCTTGTACATTTGTCAAATTTTCCTTGACAGCCGTACACACAACAAATTTTCCTTGACAGCCGTACACACGAACAAATTTTCCTTGTCCAAAAACTGGCAAGACTAGCTTTTGGAACAAGATTCCTTGGCAAAGAAACATTGACACTTTTTTGCCGCACACACGAGCAAATGAAACCTATCAAGGAAAAATTGCCACTTTGCCAGTCAGCATGTACTGGGTTTCATTCTACAAATATACACAACTCTATCACCTGTTAATTTTATTACCCATAGGTCCGATCTTTAGGTATTTAGAATTTTAAATTCTGGAAGATAAAGAGTACAGAATTTGTTATATGATGGAATTTTACTGCAATTTGCAAGTTGCATTACAAAAATATGTTTCGTAGAAAAGTACTCTGAGTTTTGCTCCTTTGACTTTGTAGAAAGGTACATTGAGTTTGGCTCCTCCGATATTTTTCATGCGTGTTCATTTCTTGGGTGTAAAATATCAGACCAAGATCTCAATCTATATATGCGAGACTGCGAGTACTTTTACATAGCGTTGGTGTGTATCTGAAAATGGCTTGCGAATTGCAGGAGAAACATTGCCTTTTCAAAATTAAGTGAAATTTTAAGCTTTACATATGAACGAAAGTAATAAAGAACGTAATGAACAGTCCTCTATACTGGAACAAAAATACAATATACTTGTACAAAAACTAATTAAAACAATTTAACGATAAAATTAAAAACTTTAGTAACAAAAGCTGTCAAGTGTTAAATGTAACGTGTGCTGTTCAAGAAATCCGAAGATTCACAATATTGTTCACACAAAGTCGAGGTCACAGATTCGACATGGTTTCAGAGCCGTGCTTTTCATTTGTCGTACAATAACGATATGATTATGATACAGCTAATTCAAAGAAGGTTGCCCTTTGCAAACCTTAAACTCTAAACTCCAAGCGCGCAAATCTTAATGGGAGCACAAGTTTCAAGCTTAGTAGTTGAATATTGAAGCTTTTTGTGAATGAATTGTTCTCGTAAGGCGATATTTACCATGTCTCTAAGAAATGGGCCCCATATATGATTTCTAAACTCATTAAATTATGCTCCCATTATGCTTCGCACGCTTAGAGTTGAAGGTTTAAGGTTTAGAGTTTTACGCCCGTATTCTAAAAGCTCACTCACACTCAATGAGTGGAGGTTCAATCTGAGTTTCTCTTTAGTGTTAATGCTGTTTTTGAATAGCTGGAGGGCTAGTGTCATACCTTACTCGGTGACTACTCACCCTCCAGCTATTCAAAAACAGCATTGACACTCAAGAGAAGCTCAGATTGAACCTGCACTCATTGAGTGTGAGTGAGCTTTTAGAATACGGGCGTAAGGTTTGCAAAGGACAAGCTTTTTTGAATTAGCTCTATATTACCTCCTCTGATTCTTGAAATTTATAAATATCCCTGGAGGACATCACACTCTGTTCATCAGCAACCATGACTGGCTTCATAGCGGCACAACAAGAACATCATCTTGACACTACATGGATTTGTCATCAACGTTTCGTAGCTGGTAAGCATAAACTCTATCATTCTTACGCCAAGCTGAAATCAAATGGTTGAAATTTCTTTCGAAAATCTCCCGTCATTTTCTTCTCTATTTCCATGGAAACTTTACAAGATTTCCAGTCCACCCTCTCTTCCATATCCAAGACGGAATGACTGGCCAACACTTCTCTAAGGGTAGAAACGTTTTTCTTTAGTCGAGCAGTATATTCTCATGCTAAACTTTAAAAACTCATTAATGATTCATGAGGATAACACAGAGAAAAATCATAATTAGGATGTTAGGGTTTGTAATCCAAGTGAGAATATATACATTTTAAGACCTAACCAGGAACGACTGCGAAAAATGCAGCACAAGGTCCTCTGGTAGGAATTGAACCTACGGCCCTAATATTAATTCCACCAAGTGAAGTGCAAGAATCTAAGTCATTCAAGTCCACAGAAAAATCATAAGCGTGTCGTATCTTTATATGTGAAGATTTCCCTTGATTTACATAAACTTTAACTTTGATTTTCTCGACTTACGAACGTATTTTCCGAAAATTACTTCGCCAATGAACTTACTAGATCGATCGTTTTTGAAGCAATTTAAAACATTCGCAGTGCGTGTTTTATCAGACCTAAAGATACTCGGCTTCGCCTCGTATCTTTATATCTGATAAAACAATGCTGCTCATGTTTTAACTAGTATATCAATGTTTAAGGTATGCAGTCTTACCTTCCGAACTGAAGAGGCATTTTTTTCCTTACTCGATGAAGCAATCGACTTCCATCGTCGAATTCCACCAAGAAGAACGGAACTTGCGGACGAACAATCTGCATGAACAAGCTTGGTAATAAAAGTCCATTGCAAATGTTAAGTAACCCCCCCCCCCCCCGACAACATTTTTGGGAAAAATTTGTACGACTTGGTGAAAAATAAATAGGGGGGGGGGGCTGTGAAAAAAATCGGTGAGAAGGGCTTGATCCAGACAAGTCTAGACAAAACTTTCATCACAGCTAGAAAGAGCATCACAAAATTAGTAATATTCCAAAGTTTCGTTGCGAAATGTTGTGAAATGCGGATAATACAGCCTTGCGAAGTTTCCCGTTTTTCAGTCACTTTGTATTACGCACGGGAAATTGATACCGCTTTTTGAAAAAAGGTCAGAAACTATTCGTCTCTTCACTCACCTCCTTCAAATCAGTTTCATCATCCAACATATCAAATTCCATGTTCTTTTCGCTGCCCATTTCCATGAACAAACCTTTCAAATCATCCGCTTTCTCGTTTGGAACAGGAATTACCTGGTGTTGTAAGTTACATGCAAGTTAACTTTGAAAACGGAATTGTGGCGTTTGAAAACCAAGTTCTGCCATTTGAAAAGGGAGTTCTGCCATTTGAAAAGGGAGTTCTGCCATTTGAAAAGGGAGTTTTGCCATTTGAAAAGGGAGTTCTGCCATTTGAAAAGGGAGTTCTGCCATTTGAAAACGGAGTTTTGCCATTTGAAAACGGAGTTTTGCCATTTGAAAAGGGAGTTCTGCCATTTGAAAAGGGAGTTCTGCCATTTGAAAAGGGAGTTTTGCCATTTGAAAAGGGAGTTTTGCCATTTGAAAAGGGAGTTTTACCATTTGAAAAGGGAGTTTTGCCATTTGAAAAGGGAGTTTTGCCATTTGAAAAGGGAGTTTTGCCATTTGAAAAGGGAGTTTTGCCATTTGAAAAGGGAGTTCTGCCATTTGAAAAATGAGTTTTGTCATTTGAAAAGGGAGTTCTGCCATTTGAAAACAGTGTTTTGCCATTTGAAAAGGGAGTTCTGCCATTTGAAAAGGGAGTTAAAAATTTTTTTGGCAGGGGCCTTGCATGGGTCCCGTTCGTACCTTGCGTTTTCGCATCTTCGATTTATAAGTTATTTCTTTTTATGTAACTATTATTCTTAGACTTGGTAATATATTTGATGCATTATTGATCGAAATAAATTTGTGAAACAGAACAAGCGAATCGAACCCCGGTTTCGAAGTGAAAGTAAACATAGACCAACCTGTATCTGTAGATGATGGGTGATAAAATTCCTTTCGTATATGACACATGAATATCCTTGTTTTTTAAACAGTTTTCGTAGCGAAGATTTGTACCTGGGGGAAACACAGTCAAGGAAACACGGCATACAGACGCAACACAGCAATGATTTCTTGCGCTACACACGTAAAAACGCACAAGTTGTTACAAGTCTGCAAACAAGTTGTTACAAATCTGTTCACAAGCTGTCGACAAGTTGTGTTCGCACTGCTTGTTCCCAGTTGTTGTAACAAGTTTGGAAAAAGCTGTTAACAACTTGTAACAAGCATGATGCCATTATCAAACTTTTCACAAGGTTGTTCTAATAAGTCTGATACAGTCACGATATACCAAGAATGTTACAAGGTTGACGACACAAGGTTGTAACAATATTGTTATATCATGACTGTATCGGATTTGTTGGAACAACCTTCCAACAAGTGTGATAATATCAACAAGGTTGTTACAAGTTGTTAACAAGTTGATAACAAGTCGTTCCAAACTTGTTGACAACTTCGGAAAAGCACCGCGAACGCAAATTGTTGAAAGCTTGCTGGCAGACTTGCCACAAGATGTGAAATGATTTCTTGTGCTAGGCCTGGTTGTTTTACAACAATTGTTTATATGAATCGCAAAGACTAACTAGTAAGGATACTTTTCAATTTCCATCAATGCTTCCTGCAATAAAAGAGATAATATTTCTCAAATCATTAATATTTCATGAGAAAAACAAAAGGGAAAGGGGGGGACAGGGACACTAACCCACATGTCTATTTTCATAGTTCCCAAATATCCCCTCCAGCCTACCTAAGTTGGGGGAACAGGGACACTCACCCACATGCCTACAACACTCACAAAGTGTACAATGTGAAAAGGGACATTACACTTCCCTCCTGCTTTAGAAACCAGTAATTCATCTGTGTGAAAAGTGGCAGTAATTTTAACAATAATTACACACCAACAAATCGTAAGATTTTCACGGTTCCCAAATATCCCCTACATAAGTTGGGGGAACAGGGACACTAACCCACACATTGTGACAATGCTGTTCCAACAACTTGTCAACAAGATGTCTCCTCAACAGGCTTGTAGCAAGCTTGTTAACAAGTTGTGACAATGCTGTTCCAACAACCTGTCACCAAGATGTACACTCAACAGGCTTGTAGCAAGCCTGTTAACAAGTTGTGACAATGCTGTTCCAACAACTTGTCAACAAGATGTACACTCAACAGGCTTGTAGCAAGCTTGTTAACAAGTTGTGACAATGCTGTTCCAACAACTTGTCAACAAGATGTACACTCAACAGGCTTGTAGCAAGCTTGTTAACAAGTTGTGACAATGCTGTCCCAACAACTTCTCAACAAGATTTTTCGCAACAGGGTTGTAGCAAGCTTGTTAACAAGTTGTGACAATGCTGTTCCAACAACTTCTCAACAAGATTTTTCGCAACAGGTTTGTAGCAAGCTTGTTAACAAGTTGTGACAATGCTGTTCCAACAACTTCTCAACAAGATTTTTCGCAACACGCTTGTAGCAAGCTTGTTAACAAGTTGTGACAATGTTTTCCCAACAACTTCTCAACAAGAT